GGGAAGGGAAGAGGAAAAGCAGCCCCTAAACACTTGTGCAGTGGGGAAAAAGGCTCCTGTGCCCCTGGGTCTGGATGGGCTTTGCAGCTCAGGTCATCCACAGAAAGGGATTTGGGGAGGAGACAAAGGTGGTGGCACAGGAGGCAGCTCTCAAGGAGAGGATGGGACTGACAAAATAATCAATGCAGGATAAAGGATTCCTGGTTTGCGTCAGAGCTGCTGGAATAATCAGAGCTCTGAAATCATTATTAGTGCAGATTTCTTCCAAGTCTATTTTCAGTTCTGTTGTCAGGTGTCCCTGCCCATGGCAGGGGGTGGAATGGATGATCTTCAAGGTCTCTTCCAACCCAAACCATTCCATAATTCCATGATTCTATGCTTTCCAATGCCACTCACACCTCATCTGTGCTCACCTCAGGGGGCTCTTGGTGGTGGATAGTCCAGAGCTGCTCCCAGTTGTGCAGAGACCAATCCTCTCTCAGCATTCCCTGGACTTTCTGCCTGGAGCACCTTCCAGGAGCCTAGTGGATCAACCACAGGCATTTCTCAGACTCCTGAGCTCACACTCCTTGACATAATCTGTGCACATCCAGAGTGTTACAAAATGGAAAAAAAAAAAATCATAGATCAGAAACTCCCTTAAAAAAATCACTGTTACTGTTTTACCAATTAAAAAAACAGAGTAAGGCAATGGGCAACAGGCAAATTGCCAGCGGGCAAACCTTTGACTCAGCATGAAACCAAGACCTGAAGCACTTTCAAGCAGGTGCCTCAGACTACCAGCCAAGCAGCAGGGACAGAAAGAGAAGGGTTTGGGTCACTTAAGGAAAAATCTGAATGAAAAGAACAATTCTATGGAAAAGTTGCATCGACATGGGAGACTAGGAAGTTTTCCACTTCAGCTGTGCTTGAGATGATGAGACACTGCAGCATCACAGTGGCAACAGCAGCTCCTAAACGGTGATATTCAGAATTGGGGGTAAATAATATCAGTTTTCCTTTGGTTCCTTTTAAGAGTTGGCTAATTGGGACAATGAAAATGAAGGGTTAACCCTGAACGAGGAGGACTAAGGAGAGACAAGGAAACGGGATACAAAGAGTATCTGAAAAATGAGAGGAGGAGGATACAGGAGAATACAGGGTGTGTTTTTACAATCTTTTCCCAGTTCATGCCCAGCAGAGCAGTGAAGGAGAACACTTCCTGCCTGTGGGTGAAGTGGTATCACGTACAGCTGGCACAGCTACCTGCAGGGAGGTGAGCAAATACCAAATACAGACTGCCATCTTCACCAAGCAAACGTGCTCATGTCACCTCTTTTAAATATGCCAGGAATAAAAATAAACCCCATAACCTTTTTTATGCAGAGGAGAAAACTGACAGATAAAGTTGGTTGCTCTGTTCAAGATCTCTGCTTTACAGTTCCTTTACTCTGCAGTTGTTACTTCTGAAGAGCCAGAGAAGCTGCCTTGGAAAGAATTCGCTCTCAAGCAGTGTCAGAGTGACACACCACGTGTAGATTCAGTGTCCTGGCTGCCCAGTTGTGCTCTGCAAGGGCGGCTCTGCTGGGGGTGTCTGTTGTTCCAGGGCGAGCTCGATGCTTTCTGTTGTCCTGATTCCCACTGTCCCGGCAACAGGCCCTGAGCTCTGCCACACCACGGATAAACACCAGGGTGCAGTGGGAGGGCAGGGGCTGAGCGTTTCCCACCCAACCACCTGAACTTTATTCCCTGGAGGTGCTGCAGGAGCACTGGAGCTGCACTGGGACGGGCAGGCTGAACTCTCCCTTCCAATCTGGGCTCTGCTGCTGACTCACCATGTCACCTTTGGGACAGAACTGCCTCCAAATTCCTTCTTCTGCCTTCAAGATGCCGGATTCTGTTGGGGACATTAGTTACCATAGTTACAGATCCTAGAATGGTTAGGATGAAGGACTTCTCAATCAGATAACTTGGCAATCCTTCCTTTTGTTCTCTGCCACGGGGCCAGAAGTGACAGAAAACTAAAAAGTAAGTTCGAGCAAGGTAATTAAACCAGAATTATTCCAGTTGCACAGCGTGGAAGAGCGAGGTAAAAACCTGAGAGCTGCTCACCAAAAGCTGGGTGGAAGATGTGGCCCATATTTATCCCAAACACAACTGGGAGCTGCAGTTCTGTGTGTATCAAACAAGCCATCATAACTTGGAAAATGTGACCTGGGAGATAAGTGCCAGCAGTGCCCTGCTGCCAGGCAGCCTATTCTTATTTATCCCCTGCAGTCAACCTCGCTGACAGCAGCCCTTTCTAAAGGCAGTCTGCTCTGTGCGTGCCTGGCCTGTTCCTGGGTAACCTCGGGGCTTTTTTAAACCCCCGTCTTGCTTTTGGAATTCAGCTCTCACAAACCTGCTGTGGGACAGACCTATTCGCGCCTTCCATTTCTCTTGCCTCACCCCTAACCTCTCCCAGCTGTTCTGTACATTTTGGTGAGCTCCTGGTGCCTCCTGTGCCAGCCGTGCCGATGCTGAGCAGAGGGCTGAGCCCCCGTGGTGCTGCCAGTGCCGGTGCCAGGGCTGTGCTCCGGGCATGCCGAGCGGGGCTGTGATTCCTGCCGGGCAGGCACTGCGGATCCAGTTACATCTGCTGGCGTCAGGCAGGCTCTGCAGCCCGCTGGGAAACACCGGACCTAAAAATAACAGAGTGAAAAAGTACAAACCCGAAGAGAGAGGGGGACATTAAAATTCCAGGAAAACTGTAGAAAAGTTTGGAAGAGGCACACAGGCAGTCCTGGGGGAAAACACTGACGTACTGGGGGAGTTTAAATTAAGCCCATGGGTTTGCCTTTTTTAGCTCTGGCACCCATGTGACACTGCAGGGCTCAGCCTGTGGCTCCAGGTATTTCTGCTCTCACAAAGAATGCATTGGAGCCTCTGGGAAAGCCAAACCATTCCCTGTGTCTCCCTGTCAACTGGTAACCGCGGGGCACTTGGCTGGGCAGTCCCAGTCCTCTGGATTTCTCCTTTGGATCAAACCCACCCTGGATGGTGCTGACTGGGAGTGGGAAGAGGTTCCAGGCTCTGGTGAGTCTCAGCAGGGGCAGGAGGGGGAATGTGACTGTCACAGCTTCTGCAGCACTTCTAATTGTACATATGGAAGATTAATGGATGTGTCAATCCAGCCAAAGGATCGGCATTAAATACATGCTCAATCTGCTTCAAAAGATTAAATTAATGAGTCTGAAATCGATAGAGAAGCACCAGTGCTATCTCTAATGGGGATTTTATGACTCTCCTATGAAGAAATTGGTGGAAATTTCCTCATATTCTGCTGAAAAAAAAATCAAGTAATCTTTGAAATTGTCTTTTTTTTTTTTTTCCTATTTAAATATTAAACCAGCTCAAGGTTTAATTTTTACCAAGTGCAAAGCTGCATTTTGAAGCGCAACGCTTGTGCCTGCCCGTTCCCATTTTCGGAATCCGGACTGCCTGCCTTTGATTAGTTTGTAGAAACCCTCGCTCGGTTTAAGCGGAGCCTGTCCTCGGGAGGCTTTGTTTCTGCCTGCTCGCTGCTGCTCTGGCTGGAGGCAGCCGAGTGGTCGGGGTGTTTGCCCCGCACGGGGTGCCACGCGCGGCGAGTGCGGGACGGGAGCGCCCGGGGGTGTCGGGGAGGATGGAGGGGCTGTGCGTGTCCAGCCCCGCGTGTTCCCCGCGGGCTGCGATCCAGCCCCGGCCCTGGCAGCGCTGGCAGGGCTCGGGTTGTGCCCTCGCACCCATCGCCGGCACCTCCCGCAGCTCGGACAGGCTGAGGGCTCTGCGGTGTTTAGGTTTGCTTTCATTGCCGTCTAAAGAAACCTCCAAGGGGTCTCCTGCCGGCATGAAGCGGGTGTTTAAAACTGCCCAGGTGGTTCATTTTGGGGTTAAGGACTGTAAGACTAAACCCCTGTTGTCCCAGCTGTGTGACCCTGGAAGTGTTTCACATGCAGCATTTTATACTGTTGAACAGTATAGCTAAAATGAAATGTTAATATCCCAGAATCACCCAATATCCTGGGCTGGAAGGATCCACAAGGACCATCAAATCCAACCCCTGGCCCTGCACAGACACCCCAACAATCCCCCCCTGTCCCTCAGAGCGTTGTCCAAACCCTCCTGGAGCTCTGGCAGCCTTGGGGCTGTGCCCACTGCCCTGGGGAGCCTGTTCAGTGTCAACCACCCTCTGGGGGAAGAACCTTGCCCTGAGATCCAACCTGGCCCTGCCCTCACACAGCTCCAGCTGTTCCCTCAATATTTTAAAAACTGTACTGCTAATTTACATTTCCCAATTTCCCTCACTAACTTTGTAGAAGAAATTTGGACTTATATATTTTAATTTACAGCAGAGGAAAAGCTGAAGGAAGCATCAGGCAGGCATGTGAAGCTGTTTCCCTGTGTCTCAGGCTGTGTGTGTTCTAAACCAAAACCAACTGAAAATGAATATGCAAAATGCCTGTTACTTGTGCATATGAACTTGGCAGACTCCTTTATAGTTTTGCAGCACATCAGGTTTGCAGCTAAACAGTTGATTAAGTGCACCTTCCAGTGAGAGATTCTGAGGGTACAAAGAACAGCCATCCCCATCCTCTGATGGAATACAAAACTCCCAGCTTTTTGGTTGTAGCTAGAAGTGTTCCACAGGAGTCAGCTTAGTTTTTGTTTACAAGTATATACAGCCCAGGTTACACATATGTAAATATATACAGCCCAGGTGTCTGTGCATTTGTTTTCACTGTTAGAAGCAGGTGCTTGGGACAACTTCAGTGCATGCTCAGACCACAGTCCACGTGCTGCCAAAATTCCTTGGCTTGTAGAAACACTGGTAATTCAAAATCCGCAGTGTTCCCTGACCTCAGTACCGACCCTGCCCCCTTTACTTGTGCCTGCATTTCAGGCTCACATCACCAGTCTAGCAGAGTTAGAACTTGCCCTCCAAAAATCTGTGTCACAACTCACTTTTGCTGCTTCCTGAGGCCATGAACTAAGGTGGCAGCAGAGTTAATTCTGTGTGGTGCCCTTTATTTTTTGGCTGTATTTTAAAGAATAATTGCTGGAGCAAGTTGAATGTGTGGCATCTTAAGTATTATTGAGGCTGGAAAGCAGCCAGAACAACCAAGGAGCAAAACTTCTAGGCAGTTTTCCATATCTGCAGCAAAACTGAGGCTCCAGCAAAGTTATCTGAGGAATTCAGGCTGAGGACAACAAATGGAAAAGGAATGACACAGATAAAAGAAAGAAAAAAAAAAAAAGTGAAGCATTTTATGATTTTGGACAGTTTCCTGCAGGGTTATATCACTGCACTGCTATCGTTCCTCAGCAAAATCAAGCAGAGTGCTCTAGCAGCTGCACTCTGTTCTCATTCCCTGGAAACCTGGGAGAGCTGGATCAGAAGCTATTCCCCACCCTTGCCCCTTCCTACTATGGTGAAATGAACTCCAGCCAAAGGCCAGGATGCTGTGGATCCTTCCACCCAGTATTTTAATTCCTGGGTGCCTCACATATGGTACAATTTGCTCCTTTAAGAACGAGGAGGTTGAGTTCATTTGGGGTGTCAGACAAGTCCCATTGCCCTGTGAGCTGCAAACTAAAGCAGCTTCACTGCACTCTCATATGGCCTCATCCCTAAAGCCCCTTTGCTGCCCACTATATATAACAAATCAGGATTCCTGGCCTGTGTTTCTCATTTCAGTGTCACCCCGTGGGCAAAGCCCGTGGGGAGCTCAGCCAGCTGTGGCTCAGCCAGCTGTGGCTCCGTGGGGACTGGCCAGCCTAGAGCAAGAAGGACAGTCGGTACCTGGGTCCCTTCTTTCCTTCAGCTGAGGAATGAACATGGTTCCTTCTTCTGCCTCCAGTTGCTGACTTGCCAGAGACTGTAGGAATTTAATTCTTTTTGAGACTTTGACTCATGTGTCAAATATGCATGAAATTCGGAGCAAGAGATAGACTGAACCATTACATAAGCTTCCTCTCCTTAGGAAAGCACCTAATCAAGCTTGTTCCATGAAAACTCCCCACCCAAATGGCTGGAAATGGATGTTTTTTTACAAACACAGACCTGTGCAGAACAATAGCCATCAGAAGCCCTTTGCCCAGTGTCCTTTTTCTTGGCAGGGGAAGGTGCTTGTGTTGGACCATGGAGCTCACATTGTCCTCTGGCCTGAAGGAGTTTACAGGTTGATAGTAATGGCAAGTTATATTCCCAACTTCAATTCTGCTGCATCCAAATCGTTAATAGATGACCATTAATCAGGCTGCAGAAGAAAGAATGGAAATGTGGTAAGGTTCCTTTTCCCCCACAAAGTTGTGTTACTGGATTTTTCCCCTCTGAGCTGCAAGGCTGCACTGTATTTCAGTTCACTGGCAGATGTCCCACACTTCCTCAAAATCTGAAGCAGAAAGACTGGGATGAGTATTTGGGGCAGTGGATGTTGGATTCCTGTGCCTGTAGTTTGGGCTGTGCTGGAGTGCTCTGAGCTCCTTCCTCTGTCCAGCTGGGGGAACAGCAGAGCATTGCCTGTATTTTCCTTCTGAGCACAAAGATGCTCCATCACCCTCCTGGGAAAGCTGAACGAGGGTGGGGGTGCCTCATAAACCCCCCTCCTGAGGAGCAGGAGCTGCCTGCAGAGCCAGGGGATGGGAGGAGCATTCCCAGGATGAACCATGCTCCCTCTGCACTGCCCTGAGCCCTGCACAGACACCCCTGGGGGTCACACAGCTCTCCCCCACGAGAAGTGCTTGGGGTTATTTCATTGCTGATCATTCTGCTCGGGGGGGGTTCATCGAGGAGCTGCTCATTTGGGTGCTCAGGATGATGCTGACTTTTGCAATCACTGACACAAGAACATTCAGCTGGACACTCAAGTTTAATCCCTGCTCATTTTGGTCCCAGAAGGTGCACAGAGGTCCCTGCTTAAAGAACCTCCTGTCTGAGGATCCTTGGCCTGTTCCATCCTTGGATATTGGAAACCAGGAATCCCTCTTTCCCCTTGCCTCAAACCTTTTTGGTACCCTGGAGTTCTCAGTAGCAGGAAGTGTCAGGGGGTTAAGACAGAAACCTTCTTACTTTGGAGGCTGCAGGCAAAGATTCCAGAGTTCTGTGGAAAGGTTTTATTCCCTTCTATCTTTCCCCTTGTTCATTTGCAGAACAAGAACAAAGTATAAGCAGTCCCATAAAGAATGTGGACTTTTATTGGAAGGGAAGAATACATCCCTGTGGTGCCTAAACACTCTGGGATGTGAAATGATTGCTTGGTCAGGAAAAGAAAAACAAAAAATGCAAAGTTTTGGCAAGCCCTGGCTTTGCACGCCCCAAACCCCAAGTAGGCACCTGCACAAATATTGTTTGCGTACAAATAAAAGTGTTTACACAGGGGTGGAGAAAAAAAAAATCTAAAAGCTGAACCACTCTATAGAAGTCAAGGCCCAACTCTCCCATTTTTACAGTATTGAAATAAGTATTAAAGTAGCTGCATTGAAGAAAAAGAATAAACATTTTTGCTAAATGTTGACAGGTTCCCACTCTGACACTGGGACTTTTCAAGCATTTTTAACTAGTTGACTGAATTTTACGCAGAGGTATTTTTAGCTGCACCTGTAGGTTGGTTTTGCCTTTGTAAAGTGTCTCCACACACCTCCAGCCTTCCAACCACTGCATCCACATGTGATCAAAGCACCACACACAGAGAATCACCCCCCACACTCCTTGCCAACCAGCTGCCTGAAACAGATGAGACCCACATGATTTACAGTGTCCTTTTGTGTTCTAAAAGCAGGGAACCCACAGGTGGGCAATGCAGGGCTCCTGCTGCTCCTCCCCTGCTGCTGCTGGGGGATGAGGGGCAGTTCCTGAGCCCCCTCTGCTTCCCACTGCTCCCCAGGGTGTGCCATTCCCAGCCCCACTGGGAACTGAAAGGAGGGGAAAGTGCTTGAACTCAAAACATGTATTTATGGATACCAGGACAATATTGTCTTCAGCTGAAGTGAAATTGTCTTCCCAACTTCCAGCTTATTTTTTTCTCACTTTTACTTTTTATAACGTGCATGGGAAT